CGGCGTCAACCCACTGGTTAGACAACAACTGGTCGCCCAACGTCGTGAGCGCGGCAAGAGTTTCGGGAGTGGGATTCGGTGAGTACATGAGAGCAGCGGTTTCAGCCCAGTTCGCCAGCGACTCGACTGGTACATTCACAGCGACAGTCGGAGCGGAGAAATTGGGCGTAATTGGTGTCTGGCCCAGGCCGACCCCGAGCGGAACTGGAGGCTGAGGGACAAGTGAAGATTGGCCCAATACGACAGACTGTCCAGAAGGTGGTGATACCGCCGCCGTCTTTGCCAAAATACTCGGCGGAATCAGCTCCTGAACTACAGGGGATGACAGCTGAGAATCCAGAACAGACAACATCACGTCCCTGGACGTACCTGAAGCTGATCCTTGTCCGGAATACAAACGATATGCCGCCCGGAGACCCTCCCGGCCATTAACCAAGGGCTGTGACTGCGCACCATCGATCCGTTGTACACCCAACTCTCCCCGGACAAATTCGTTCACCGCTTCTTGCCATGATTCCTTATCTATGCTGCTAGCAATGACCATTGCATGAGCCCACAGCCTTTCGTCGAGCGCAAGACGATATGCTTGTCGTCGGTCGCCCTGCAGAAGCAGATCCTGGATTTTCTTAAGGGAGGAAGGACGGAGCGCCGTGACGGATATGGGTCTCTCCGCGTCAGGATTGCTCATGGACGAATACAGTAATGTAGCATCGTGTGGCATAGTGAAGTCCAAGCCATCGCCGGCCGACACGGTCGAATGGGGAACAAGCGCTCGGCGAACAGCCTGTTCGGCTTGTGGACTGCACAAATATAATAATCAGAAGCGGTCAGACATCTCGAAACATCGCGTACACCTACCTGCCCGTCAGCCGACCGTCATTCTCGACCATCGCTTTGAGAATCTTCACTAGAACGAGCTTGCTCTCCCCTTTCACTTTCTCAATAGTCCCTGCTTGAATATACCCGACTGCACGTGTGAGTTCCGCGACTCGGTCCTCAAGGTACTTGAGCAGCTATATATAATAGCCGTTAAGCCACAAAACCATATATAAATGCGTCAGGCCGCACCTTGCCCTTCTTTTGAGCGGACGACGAACCTCGCACCAATGAGGTTGTTGTCTGCACCAGGCTCGCAGCCGCAAAGCCGGGGTCACCCATGAGTGGTCCTGGATATCGGTCACTCTCCTCTTGCGTCTTCCTTCCTTTATTCTTGCCCTTGCCCTTCTCTTTTTCCTGGTCCCAATCCTCGCTATAATCGCGCTCGACGACGCCAATAACATCCAACGCACTCGCAGGCAGAACATCCTTCACCTTCCCAATCTTGATGTCTGTCAAGATGCGAGACGCGAGAGCGACATCAAAGCCGGTGTTAAGACTCGTCGCATGGAAGCACGATACAAACCGGCCGCCAAAACCAAAAGAGAAGACCGGCGCACGTGATGAGGTACGCGAAAGCGGATCATTAGCACCCCGCAGGGAAGGTGACGGCGCATACGGCGCCAAGGTCGGAAGCTGCTGCTGCTGGAACGAGGGTAGCTCGTGCGTAGTAACCTCATGCAGGGGGGGCAATTCAAGCGATGGTGGCAGAGCTCCAAAAGACGAGCTTTGACTCAGCTCACTCTTGTGCCCATGGGGCGTGCCCTGATGCACACCGCCCTGTGAAGGATAACCATACGCTGATGCGGCGGGTCGCCCGTAATCGCTTTCGCCCTGCGACAAACTCCTTGACAGCGGAGCGTACGGACCTGCAGCTACAGACGAAGCGATTCGTCCGTTGGACAGAGTCCGAGAAAGCGCTGCAGCAGCCGGAGCATAATGATTAACTGGACTCTGGGTGCGTGAATGAGATGATTGTGACGATGCGCCGGATTGAGAACGGTCGCGTATAGGAGGCGCGTAAGGATCAGCCGGAGGTGCTCGCACGGGTTGGGCCATCGGCATACTGGTAGAAGGTGGAAGGGAGTGTACGTCACGGGGAGGCGCATATACATTGTGGGAAAGCGGGGCATAAGGATTGATCACTGGGGGATCATAGGGATTGGTCGTCGAAAGATCGTAAAGACCAGCGTCCGTTTTCGGTGCAGACTCCGGGAGCGGTACCTTTGATGGAGGTGCATATAGGTCGTTTGCGTTATCAGGGGTGCTGTACTGCAAGGGCTCGTACGACGCCTGATATCTTGCAAGCGGGCTCTGGGTCCTATTGCCGACAGACACCGTCGATGCGTGATGGGCGACAGTGCCACTCGACGGAGGGCGGGGGGGAATTGTATGAGGCAGCGACACAATGCCATTCGAATGGGCAGACGGTTCATGGGAAGACGGAGCATTGGAAACAGAACCCAGCTCTCCTCCCTCGATATCTTCGGCGTCATGAGCTGCAGCGGGCGAATGAGTAGGCTCTTCTAAATCATTCGCGCTCGTTGCCTCTACACCGCCTGAAGACGCGCCAGACGCAGTCTTGTCAATCTGTTGGTCTATAAGAACAATGAACCATTTCTAAAATAAGAAACGTACGCCAGGACGTGGTACGCCAGTCTCATCGTTGGATGCAAGATGTGCACCACACTCTGGATCATCTTCACCGAGTTCTGCGCTTACATCAACTCCAGAGGATTCAACAACATCTGACGCAGGTGCACCCGACTCAGAGGCTGGCTGCACGCTCTCGAGAACAGCATCCTCGCCTGGTGGCATTTGCTGGTTCTCCGAATCCAATGTTGCAGCATCAGCAGTTTGGAGCATCGGCGCTTCACCATGATGGGGCTGCGCCTCACTGTCGATTGGCGGATGCGACATCGTCCATATAGCGGTGCCATTAGCCCCATTCATCGACGCCGCATCACCATTCGGTGGTGGCCGCCGCTGGTCGAAGTAGCCACTCTTCATCCCGTCCGACTCTGGAGGGAGACCATCGATATCCCGCGCACCGTCCCGCACGCGTGCTTCATATTGCGGTGAACCGGTGGGCTGCTGCTGTACCATAGTGGCGGGTCGAAGAACGGGAGGGGCCGCTGCCTTGTGCGGGGCGTAGAATGCTGACGTGGGCCTACGCGACGGCGGGGGGATGGACTGAGACATCGAAGGCGGGCGGCGGGGTGGTGGAGAGAAGCCTGAAGGCGGAGCGGTTGGCGGGGCATACGCAACAGACGCAGACGGGGGCAGGGCGTGAATAGACGTCGGAGGTGACGCGAGATTGAATGTAGATGAATGATCTATCGAAGGGGATACGTAAGCCGATGTCGGTGGCGGCGGACGACTGGTTGTAGAGGATAAGGGGGCATAACTAGACGATGTCGTGGAAGGTGCGTAAGGCGATGCTGCTGTGGCCGTCATCGAGGTATAAGACGCTGAAGGCGTCGGAGGATGGCCGGTGGAACTCGACGGAAACGCAGACTTCGTTGGAGAATAAATCGCGGGAATGGGGGGAACAGGCGGTGGTGGAGACGCAGCGGCACGAGGTGCAGGCGGACGCCCCTGCGACGCCGAGCGGGGTATCCCAGGACCTGACGGCGGCAGAGGTGGCGTAGGATTTGCGCCTGCACCATACACAGGATGGATGGGATGCGTTGGACTCTCAGGATAAGCATGACCTGCGGGGTACGCATGACTGGTAGCATACGCCTGTGACGACGCACGCTTCACGCTCATCGGGAACAGCGGAGGGTCGTACGCGTTCGCTACCTTCGGTCGCGTCACCGATGCCGCAGATGCAGCACGGGATTGAGGCGCGCGCGCAGACGGACCTTCGGGCGGCGGCGGCGCATTGACAGCAGACGAGTGCGCAGGATTCACGGGCTGGCCATAGGATGATGCCGACGCATCGTACGTGCTGTATGCGTACGCACTGGCCCCGGCGATGGGATGGGTGCCCTGCGAGGGGGTAAACGACCGGATGGGCGGGTCATACGCGTTAGGGCGCGACGAGCGGCCCATAGACGCTTGTTCATACGTATGATTAGTGGGTGGCGCAGTAGCCTTGTGTGCGTGTGAGGCTGGCACAGCGTACGAAGAAGGCGTATACGACGACTGTGTGCTTGCAAGGGTATAACTATGGCCATTGAGAGTAGCGTAAGGCCGCGCGCCGGCCGATGGTGCATACGCCGAAGCACCATATCCCCCTTTGCCGGGCTCCGCGGGTGTAGAAACCGCCCTAGCAGTCGTCGAGTACGCCGACGTGCTGTTCGAAGGTGCATATGCCGAACTGTTCACGGAGCCATACTTGGCATATGCTGATGAGGGTGATATGAGGAAAGACTCGCGTAACTGACGATAGACGTACCCTGGCTCACATCGCTCTGCAGTTGCTCGTACGACTGCGAGGGGTCATCTGGGAAGGGGACAGCGGCATCATCATGCGGCGCTGTCGCATCAATGGGGGAAATACTAGCAAACGGGTCGGACGTGCTGGAGGTCGGGTCCGCAAAAAGGTCGGTAGACGTGTAACCCGAGTGCGTTGTCGTCGCTCCTGCAGCTGCTGCATTGGATGCGGCATGGCCCTTGACCGTTCCGCTCACTGTCTGGCGTTGCTCATCACTGTCTGATTGCCCGAGACTGGAAAATGGATCTGCAGCATTGTCGCTTCCAAAGAGCGTCGCAGCTGCTTCCATTGCGCGGGATTTGCAGTTGTACCGCCTTCAATGATAAAAAGACAAGAGAGCAGTATGTTGAACAACAAAAGAATAAGAAGAGAAGCCGGTGTATGCTGCTCTCGCCCAGCGACAAGTGGGATGGAGAGAAGAGCACTTTGAAATCTGCCCAGGTCGTGACAGTAGTGGTTGACAGATATTTGACAACAGCAATGATCACTCCGGCTTCCACGTATCCTCCGACCGCACGACCGACGTCCGTAATCGTCTATTTTACACTAAGCTATGTACATTTTAGTTACGGTGAATATGCAGTAGAAATAACGAACGGCTCTGATATTTGCAAGATTAATTCTCCGACAATTTTACTATGACCTGGATGACATTGTCGCGTTCCAGAGCTCTAAAACAAAATGACCACCGCAGGGGTCGAACCTGCAATCTCCTGATTAGACAGTCAGACGAAATCGAATAGTCGTAGTCAGACGCGATGCCATTTCGCCAGGCGGCCATACCAACTTGCTTTAAGCCATCATAGAAATACCGCAATGCAAAGACTCAAATGGAGCCAAGTCCGTGCGCTTCGAAGAGAAACTGCCAGCGCTACATATAAACGTCCCACTACAGGCAATTCGACAAAGAATCGTCGTTATCACACACAGACTGCCACAGATGGTATTTTTTTTTTTGCATGGAATGACAACATGAGAGTGTGGGGCATGGAAATAATACAACTATGTCAAGTCTAGTCCACCATCTCGACGTCGGTTGGAGACTTTTGTCGAACCTTGCGGTCGAGGATCGCACGGCTAGAAGAGAATCCGTTAGCACCAACGGCCAAAGGCATTGAAGCCATGGAAGAATTAGAGCTCACCGATCCTTGTCGAGTTTGATGTTGATGATGACGACGTTTGAAGGGTGGACGCCGATGGGTACGGATGCGCCATTGGACTTGTCGCGGTGTACACGGTCGACGTGGATGACCCACTTCTTGCGGTAGACCTGGGTGACTTTGCCCTCGCGACCCTTGTATTTGCCTCGCACAATGCGAACTTCATCGTCTTTACGGATGGGCAGTGATCGTGCCTGGTGCTTGGCACGCAGCTCCTTCGACAGGCCAGAGGACATGATCTTGCGCCGCACAGACGAAGGCGCACTGAAGTGCGCTTTGCGCGACTTGCGCCTTGACGAGGAAACGTCTGTGAGTGGTGTAAATGGAAGTGTATCCGAAGTGGGGAGACGGAATCCAGCGAATGCAGACACACAAAGGAGGGCGCACACCGAGAGAAAGGGACGCACCTGCGTTGAACTTCATGGCGAAACTTGCTGAGAACCGTACAACACGGCGGGGACGGTGGCGAATGTGTCTCTTGGTCGTCGCGCACAACACACACCGCCGATCGTTTTGATTGATCCATCAACGGCCATCACATCGGCATGATCGATGGTGGCACATTTGTGTCTTTGGTTTGGCGATATGGCACAAAAGCAGGATAGCAATTTTGCACGTTTATCCCAAATCCTCTAGTCGTGCAACAGTCGCGCACGTACCCTACTCACACGTGGCCGCGTGTTATCAGCAGATCAGATCACGACCTATCACGACGTCAAGGTCGCTGCCAGTGTCCTCGCTGTAACGTCTCGTCAGTAGTGGGACCTCGCCACTGCTCGACAGGTCTCTGTTCCCTCCCCCTCCACTAAGACCAACATCGGGTCCGGCGCACCACAGTCCCCGCAATCTTATGATTGTCATTTGGACGATAGCAGGGGAAAGACTGCCTGCTGCTGCTGCTGCTGTGGAAGCACGCAACAATGACAAAACTGAATTCAGTAATTACGCATGAAGTATCGCAACCGCTGCCTTATCAGCGCTCATTCTTGACGCTCCACTTTTTCACTAGCATCGGAAAACCGCGATGATCCATGTGATTGAGAACCCCGGGTCAGAGTCTGTTCAGTTCAGTAAGGATTTTTAGGTTTCAGGCCAATTGTGAATCGCCATCAACTAATTTATCGAATTTATCGGACAGTATCGACAGGACACACAGAAGGTTGATCAATAAAGATAGATTTTACATAATAAAGTAATGGGCACAAAAAAACATAGTAAACAGATGATTCCCGATATCTCTAATATCGCGTCCGAGTCCCCTCCAAGTTACCGGGCCTGAGAACAAATTGACAACAATCAGTTCCACGGTGGTCATCCCGTCGGCGCGGTGGTATATTGATCGCCGTGGCCACATGACTCATGATTCCCGAGTCGATGAACTGCCGGGGACTATTGTTGCTTCCTGCAGCATCTATCTTGAATGGAGAAGGCCAGACTGTATCCGTCTTCTTCTTCTAGCTTGCTTTTAGACTCAACAGCACAAATTTGCATGAGAATGTCGCATACAGTGCTTAATGTTCTCCCAGGAAGACCTGTGACTCGGGAGTCGCTGCTGGACTTTATCTTGTCCTCGTTCTCGTCTTGACTGCACGTCTCAAGAGCCAACGAAAGCACACATTTATGGTCTGTCGATAGTCTGGGCTCTGTTCATTCAAATTTTCGCGAGACAACGGGTTTTTTCCCTAGATCACCAGCTACCCCATTGACAACTGTTGTAATATCGCACCAAACTATTGCTCCATAGCGTTCGTCCCCCCGTGGACATGCCGCAAGCTGTTACGATTACAAGTCGCTGTGGCTATCTGGCACTTGCATATGATTCTCGCTTTCTCCAAGGGAGTCGACATTCGAATCAATGATTGCTTCATGGGCATATGTACAGCGCATCATGGCATCACTCTATCACTCTGCGTTGGTCTGTCGCAGCAATACAAAGTTGTCTCGGTTCAGTCTCCGTTTCTTGCATTCTTGTTCCTCGACTAAGCGATATCTCCCCGGCCGCCATAATCCGCTCGTGCTGCACATGCCAAGGCTCGGAGCCGCAATACGGATTATGCTGGCCCCCTCCTTGCTATGCTGTACGGGGGCTCATCTGAATTCATACAACGGCGCTTCGTTCTCAGGTCTATGGGCACGGCGGTGGCCCTGTTTCGACATTCCGGTCCAGTCTGGTCTTCACGCCGATTTCTGAGTTTCTCTTGTTGCAGGCTGGATGGACGAATTAGAAACTCGGTCCTTCATCATACCCGTCTAATTATTCGATTGCTCACATAAGCCCATTCATGCCAAAGTCCTGCCATTTGCATTACCGCCAGTTCTCTCGGAATTTGCATCTCAGTTTGATAAATGGGAAGGTAGTAGCCAGAAAATGCTCGTCTTTTGAATTGTCGCCCTGGTACGTTGTCTATCCCCTCATGTTCATGCTATTTTAATTCACTGCGTGTACTCCACTCTGCTTTTTCCCCGATTGTGAGCATATTCCTCTTTTGCCGACGGGAGCCCGTCCTTCGTCGTATAAAATGTTGTGCGTTTGTTATTCATTTTCAGCTTGTGCTCTGCCTTTTTCCCTTCCTCACAGAAATGCCCGCCCAGATCTACCCTGCCCACTCGCCATCGGCAGGCGCGTCCTCTGTCTCGTCCAAGTACTCGGGCGAGGGCATTGAATGCACGACTGTCGCTGATGGGAAGACAGTTGCGGTTCTGCCCTTCAGTCCCCAGCCGACTCCTAATTCGGAAGATCTCATTGTAGCCACCGCATCCAGCGAGAAAGAAGGCTGGGTGGACTGGAAGAGCGTCGAGCTTCCGGAGAAGACACAAGCGCGACTCCTACGAAATCTTCGGTTTCAGCTGCTGACCGTCTACCACCGCCTTTTCAGTGTCGTGTTTTCCGTTAACCTGGCTGTCTTCATCGCGACACTGGTGCAGGGCACTACTGCCGCTCACGTTGCGAAAATCGTCGTCGCCAACCTGACCATCGCGATCCTCATCCGCCAGGACTACATCATTAACGCCCTCTTCGAGACCTTTTGTTTCGTCCCTCAGTCGTATGTATTTTTTTCCCCTTTCGTGTTCAGGTTCGTTGATATGATGTTCAGATGGCCGTTGAGCATTCGTCTCCTGGCGGCAAGAATCTTCCATCTGGGTGGCGCGCACTCGGGTAGTGGGATCGCCGGTGTGATGTGGCTCGGATATTTCACCGGCTTGGCCACGAAAGAGTTGGCTGACGGAGGAAAGGCGAGTTCTAATGCTTCAGTCCAACATGCCGGCATCTCATGTATGCTTTTCTACCTAGGCTTCCGTACCCACCGTTGCGATTACTTATGTCATTTTGGTCTTGCTTCTATTCATCGTGGCACTCGCGTACCCTGCTTTCCGTGTCGTGCAGCATGATACATTCGAGCGCACACATCGTTTTCTGGGTTGGACGGCTGTCGCACTCGTTTGGGCCCAGGTACGTTGAACGGTTGCGGTACCGCTCCATGTGCTAAATCCTGATCTCAGATCATCTGTCTAACCAATGACTATAAAATTGAGGGCGAGACGCTCGGCCAGGCTCTTGTCCGATCTCCGCCTCTGTGGATGGTAGTCGCCATTACGGGTATGAATCTTTCCTTTCATCTGTCGGTCCCGCGTTATATTGACATGTCGTGCCAGTCTCGCTTATCATACCTTGGCTACACCTCCGGAAGTACGACATTGAGACCGAGGTGCTCTCTGATCATGCCGTGCAGTTCTATTTTAATTATGGACGTGAGTTTCCCACCTTTGCCGCCTACGCCCACATCAGCTGACGACTATATTCTCGGTGTATGTTGCTTCGTGTCTCTCTTATACACGATATATATTCTATTTCACCTGACGGCAGCGGGCCCCACTCCCGGCTCGTTTACTCGTGTCTCCGTCAATCCGTTGTTCGAATGGCACAGCTTCGCGACCATGGCTGTGCCTGGAAAGCCCGGCTACTCAATCATCATTTCACGTGTAGGTGACTGGACATCTAGTATGATCGCCAGTCCGCCGAAACAGATTTGGGTGCGAGGAATCCCGACTTGCGGTGTGATGCGAATCGTCCCACTCTTTCGCCGCGTCGTACTTGTAGCCACAGGAAGCGGTATCGCACCGTGCGCACCAGCGATTCTCGCCAAGAAGGCTGGGGCGATGCGCGTTTTGTGGACGGCGCCCAACGTGCGCAAGACGTTCGGCGACAAGCTCGTTGATACGCTGTTGGAGGCGAACCCGGAGATGGTTCTTTATGGTGAGATCTTTGCCCGCTCTCCAGCCCGTGCAAGTGCTGATTCCAGCTGAAGATACTCGTTCGCATGGCAAGCCTGACATGGTGAAGCTTGTCTACAAACTTGCGTGCGAGTTCGACGCCGAGGCTGTCGTCATCATCTCGAATCAGAAGCTGACGCGCCAAGTCGTGTATGGCATGATGAGTCGCGGCATCCCCGCGTTTGGCGCCATTTGGGATTCATGAGCGTGTGCGAGACATTGGTAACGTTCTCTAGATTATGGTGAGATAGAAATTCGAGATTTTTTGTCATTCTTTTTTAGCACGCTGGTTTTTGCTGTTTTAGAACCATGTAGAACCATGAGACTTGTGATTCCTTTGATCTAGA